GTTTCTAAATCATTTAATTTCTCTATAATAAATACATTTCTCTATCAACAATCCATTTCTCTATAATCTCACCGCTCCACTCCCAGCTGTGATGTTCTGCAGGGCTCCGACAGCAGCCTCCTGGGTGGCGTGGCGGACGCTGCGGGCGATCAGCGACAGGTACATGCGGACAGTGATGGCGCTCCACAGCCACTCTATGCCACGTGGGTTGGCCTTCTCCTCCAGCAGGGGGCACTGTCGCTCCAGATGCTAGGGGGGGTGTGGGGGGGTAGAGGTTGATGAGCTGCAGATTTCCGGTGGGTTCACCAGGTTCACACAGTCGCAGCAGGGCGATGAGTGACGATGACGGACATGTGTATTCCTCTGCTCTTATTGTGTGTGTGGATATTTAACGTTAACTCAAGCAGAGAAGAGACCAGACTGTAAATTCACATCATCATGAAGACTGTGCTGCAGCGGCCGAGTAGCTGCAATGCAGATATATATCGTTTAAAGCGCGTGCAATGATTAAAACTGTAATCCTCTGTCTTTTTATTTTTCATGTCAGGATCTCATGTTTCTCTTCATGCAAATAACAGGAGGATCAATAAAAGCTGTGTCACGGGTGATTAAACCATGGACTGTACATAAAGAGGATTAACCTGCAGAAATCCAGCAGATTTACCAGACTTGCCGTCAGATGTTGTTGAGCACATATTCAGTGTTGTCACAGTGGATTCTTGTCCGTTGGGATTACCTCTGTGATCTTGGTGCTGCGTGGAGAGAAGCAGCTGACGCTCTTTGGGTCGGGAGCAAGGTTTCGTCGAGACTCTCTGAGGTCCTGGGGGAAATTTAGAGAAAGCTCTGCCTCGATCTGGTAAGAGAGGTTGTGCAGGATGCACACGCAGTTCTCTGTAGACTTCAGAGCAGATAAAAAACATGGGTAAATACTAAATGATTTACATTATGGCATTTTGTATAGGTGTAATCGAGGTGCTTTTACTTTGCAATTACTCAAATGTGTAAAGTGTGGCCCCTTTATGGCCCCTGATCTAAAAAAATCCTGGATCCACCACTGCCCCACATGCACTGGCTCTATGTCCCCCAGGGAGAGTTTGAGAACCACTGCACTTCTGAATGAAAAAGCTGTTGTTTAGATGTAGAATGCATCACATCCAAAACATCTGATCAAGCAGATGTAGGAACTTCTACTCGAGCGCCTCTAAAACTTCCCTTCAGCTCAAACAGCCGAGCGGAAACCAACTGTGTGAAGATGAATGTTTTCTCTGGGACGCTTCATCATTTCCATTTCACCTTGTCATCCGTCTTGTAGTCAGCGATGGTGCCCCGGATGTAGTAGACCAGAGAGTCGATAAGATTCTCGCAGTGCCTCATTGCCTTTCTGCCGTCTGGACCCGCAGAGCTCAGATTTCTATAAACACACAACAAGGAAGATAATGTGACATTTGTGATGTTTTAATTCAACTGGCAGTGAAATCAACTTCATGATTGCACAAGTTAATGGATGGAGTGTTTTGGGATTTCAGGCTGTTCCAACACCAGCTGCAACTATGACAAATATAACAAACTAGGTAATCCAGCTTCTCTCGGAAAACAAATTCCTCGATTAACATTCTAACTGCGGCTGACAGCTTCTTTGATAAAATATAACGAGGGGAACTCGTCATTTTTCTCATCCGCGGGGAGGCTCTGAGGAGTTGAGAACACGATAAGGAGAACTTGATAACGCCGGGCCGCCGAGGACTGAGTGATTTCAGTTCAGCAGAGCGGAGAGAAGAGAGAGAGCTCCATGAATTATTCAGCCTCCGACTCTTTTCATCTGGCTGCAGTTGCCAGGGGAGCGGCCGCCTCTGATTCTCTACTGCTTTGTAAACACAGAAATGATATACGACGAGGAAAACCAACTGGAAACCAACAAAACGCACGTAATCTGAGGCCGCAGCAGATACGTTGTCAGCGACCGAGAGTTATGACGAGAGCAAAGAATACGACAGGTGTATTAAATTCTTTGGCGTTTTTGACTCGCTGCAATCGCCAAACCGAAACAGGAGAAAGTGACATTTCTATAATAAATCATCCAGCAACTTTCTCACCATTTCTTTAGTTTTTTCTCTTGTTGGCAGAAACTCAATAAAGTTTTTCATCAGGAATCTGAAAAGGGTTTTGGCTCCTTCCACAGAACCACAGTCAGCACTTCAAGTTCCGTGTTGAAGCAGAATTCAGACGCATGAGATCAGTTTGTACCTCGATGAGAGACTGTTTACTCATAACTCCGCTTAGCAGAGACGGTGCACGACTGCCTTCTCTTAACTCTTGCCAGGTGAAACTTCACCTCTGTGGGTTCGTTTTTTCATCTTTATTCAAGAGCGTGGTCTTTTGAGTTTGAGCACGAGAAGAAGAGCTGAAGCTGCAGCTCAGATACAAAATCAAGTGCAAGCAGTTTCAGCACAACTAGAGTAAATGCAGATTTAATGCAAACTACACTTTACTATCACATGAATCTAAATATCTCTATATTCCAAAATGCACATTATCATACAGACTTGAACAGTTAATGACTTATTACTTATTATTTATTAACGACACATTAATGTTTTAAGTCTTATTTCTGTCCCACTGCGTGTAAAAGTCATAAACTGTACAGAAAACACACTCTTAAACTGTGTGGTGTCTATTATATGATCAGATGAAGGTTGCCATGCACACCTTTATTATTTTAAAGAAACTAAGCACAAGGTTTAGAGTGCAGGGTTTAGAGTAAAAGCGTTCATCATCTGCTCTGAAGACCCTGCTCTTCAAAAGAGATAGAAAAAATGTCCATCTGTTTCTCCATCTGCACAGTGCATATGTATTCCTCGTAGTTAAAAGTTATTCTGTCTAAATACACCTCAAAGTCTCTATTTATTTTGGTATATGTCGACTATCTGACACCAGTAGTTGGTGTCTGTTTACTGCGATCTATAATCAGCGCTGCAGTGGAGCACTCGGAGCATCCGGTTTCAAAGCCGACACAAGAGGAAGAGGACTCGTACCGCAGGCAGCCTGTGGCAGAGTGGAAAACCTCAGAGTCGGCGAGGAGCTCGTCTTTTGGGTTCTCCCCCTCAGAGATTCCGGAGCTGGGCACGAGGACGGACTGAGTGAGGACAGATAAGGCCTCTCTGGAGAGATGCTCCTTCAGCAGGTCGTGAGAGGAGAGGTTCCACAAGAGACCTCAAAACAAAAATAGATTTTAATATCTCCAGAGACATTCATCTCAATATTTTATACATATCTATTTACAAAGTCAAAGACTGACCAGCGAGTTGTCGTCTGGTCTCGATATCACGGCTTCTCTTCAGCGCGCCCAATATGGTGGCCAGGCCGTCGTTCTCCTTCACCTCCATCTTGTTCTCGCTGCTCTGGTACACGACGTTGCGCAGCGAGCCGGCGGCGACGCGCTGCACTTCCTCGCTGTCGTTGTGGAGGAGCTGCAGCAGCTTTCCGATTCCACGGAGATAGAACACCTGGGAAGGAGAGAGACGGAAAGTGGATCACAGAACGACAGTTTCCTTGTCCCTGCTAAAGCCTCCATAATTGAACCAATAATCCAATTCAGTGTCTCAGAAAAGGACTTTGAAAAGGACGATTTCCTCCCAACACTGTGGAATGAAAGTTTGATAATTACAAACTAAACAGCTGACGCCATCATTCCCATCAATCAGTGTGTCCCTGCATATGAGTAAACACACCATCTTCTTAGCATCTGCACTCTTGAAACATTGATTCTGAATGTGGCTGGCTGCGTAGATCAGCGTTTCCTTGTTATCCTGCGTCAACAGACCCATGGCCTTATCCAGCGTCATCTCTGGAAGCTTGTTCTCCGACTTCCTGTGTGAAGGAGACACAGCCCTGAATGAGAAGATGCAAAACCAAGAATACCTTTACTGAACCAGAAGACGGTCTTACAGCGTCATGACATCCTGCGTCTGTATCTGCTGAACGGGGACGTCTCCTTCCACCTGCCTGACCATGTCCACCTCCACGCTAGTGACCGAGGGCGGGTACGAGTTCAACCTGCGGAGGCCCTGAGGGTTCCTCCTAACCTGAGCCAACCACGACAGCCCCTCATCACCACCTCTCTCCTGCACATTGTGTTTCTCAGTCTGGTTTTGACTCCAGCGAGAGCCGTATCTCCCACTCTGCTGAAACGCTGCATTTGCAAACACAGGCTGCGGCCCTGACGTCTGTCTCCGTAAGCTCTGGCGGAAGTTCCTGTTTGCAGATGTGGACGTGTGCGGCCACGTGCCTCGAGGCGCCTCTGAGAAGGCGTAGCGCCAAAATGAATCGGTCCCGTACGGGCGGTCGTGCAGCGTGCCCGTCCTCTGTGCCTGGCTGGGTTCTGGGATCGTGTAGGTGCCAAATCGCAGGGTGCTGTAACTCAAGGGAGCGCGAGGTAACTGTGGGCTCGGAGGCGGAGACACCTCCACCCTCCTGGACGGTCTCCGCACGTGGTTGCTATAAAGAGAGCAGCTGGTGGAGGTCCATCCGTTTATCTGTGGAGACAAAACACAGACTTTAATACAGTGACGTCTGGGACGATTTAGATTTACACAATGCAGTAGATTCAATTTTGAATACCTTGTTGCTATGGAAACAGTCTATTAGTATGTTTTGGCAAGTGCATGAAACACATAGTTAAATTATAATTTAGAACCTGTACAGAGAACACGCTATTAAACTGTGTGGTGTCACAAAAACATGTATTATACAATAAGATTAAAGTTGCCATGGACAACTTTTTTTTGTTTTAAACAAAAATTAGACGTAGGTGCTTTTGTTTTTAGTATATGAGACGTGAAACTGATAAAATGTAGGAAGAGACGAGCAAAAATATCAATGATTAATGCTGTTGGTTAAATAATTGAAACTAGTGTAAATCATATATTAACTTCAATCAAGAAAAGCTAATTCTTTATTACCATCAGCTGCAATTTGATCAGGAACATATTTATTTGAATGTATTAAGAAATAACAATAATGTGAAAAGGCTAATTTATTTCATTTTGTCACTGTCCGGGCTCCATAGAGCTGAAGTAAACACTGTTTAAAATCCCAGTGTCGACATGATGATTTATTTGCATGAAGCAGCTGCAGACATTTGAATGCATTCAAATGACAGCATGCAATATTTAAAGTGCAGCGTGATAAGCATTTACGAGCCGTGTGTGTGTGTGTGTGTTTGTGTGTACGTGTGTGTGTGTTTGTGAGTGCATGAGTCAGGAGGTAAAAAGACGCCTCACCTTCATGTTTGGTAAAAGTCCATCTGCAGCATCAAAGCTCTTTGCTGTGTTTCTCTGTAAGTGGACACCACCTTGAACAAGTCGAAGAGGTTTAGTCAGAGCGTCCAGTTTCACACTGTAATTACCTAAACGCATGACGGCAACACCAACACCTCCTCGACGGCGTGACTCCCACCCTGACTGAGCTTTGAGGAGGGAAGAACAAACTCCTCGGAGCGCTGCGAGCGTTTTCCTACACTGCAAACCAAACTTCTTCATTTCCGTTTAGAGGGATTGGTAAGAAGAAGACAGAGGAGGAACATGTAGATTATTTAGGTTTATCATCAACTGATTTTAAGTTTAGTTGCAGCCCTATTTACAAACACAATCATTTCTGAGTCAGGATTCATTGTTTCATTAACTAGTTTTCATGTCACCGGTCTTTGTTGGATGAAAGTGTGAGGTCTGAAATATCATCACCATCAGTTTAGTGCAGGAATTTTATCTCTCGCTCAAGGAATCCTCTTTAGAAACTGTCCAACCAAACCAAAAAACACTTTCCTCCTACAATGACGCCCTGAATGCTTCAATCTTTCATTGATTCATCGCTCTCCTGAAAATATTATTATCATTTTATGCTGATGACTGGTGTCCATAGCTGACTCACCTACATTTACTAAATAAATCAATATAAGGACATAGATCACTTAGAAAGCCTGGAAGGGAGCTAGCTTAGGTTCAGCCTCTAGTCAGATGGATGAAACTGCAGAAACCTGTTGGACCAGAAAACTATTCTGCAGCAAGAATTCTTCTCACTGATATGTCTGTATTTAGTGGAAATGAACCAACAGTGGGCTGCACATGCTTCACATAAAGCAGATCCTCTGGATGGGAAAAGGCCGCTATCACGATAAATCAATAACAGCAAATAATGCAATATAATTATCATCAAAGCAATGTAACAAATCTTCAATATATATCAGCATGTAGCTATTTATTGCTATTCAACTTTCCCCGATAGCAATATAACAAAATCCAATATATATCAGTATTGTGATAAAAGAGACAAATTACATAATTTTCATCAATAGAAATGTAACTAACTCCTATGTATATATATATATATATATATATATATATATATATATACATAGCAAATAGCACAAAACATGTTTTGCACAGCGATCATTTCCATTGATCGCTGTACAACAAAACTATATAACTATATAAATCTATATATTGACCATTTATTGCAATATAATTTCCACCAATAGCAATTAAGAAAACTTCCATATATATGGATATATTGCTGAAGCAATGTGTAAACACAGTGGAGGTGTCACACAAATAATCTTCCTCAGATGTGTAAAATGTTTTACGTGTTTATGATCATTTATCTGATGATTATCGATATCGATGATGTGGATTCGTTTTGTCTTGGTAACACTGAGGCCGTATTGTCGAGGCAATGAATAATTAAAGTGGATGGTTATTCTAGTGGAGGCAGGAGGAGGAGGTGGAGGAGGTGGAGCAGTGAGTGTGGCTCCTCTTCATCACCCTCTCTCAGGTGTTGTGTACTTCACGTTCATCATCATCATCATCATCATCATCATCATCATAAACACACAATGAATAAATCTGGATGGTTACCGTTGGACTGGCTCCTCCTCGCCCTCCTCGCCAGTGTGAGCTGGACCTGCTGCTGGACCCGCAGGCTCCGCTCGGTGGACTGGATCCTGGCCGAGGAGGAGGCGGCGGGCCCGGCCGGCAGAGCCAGGCTGGTGTCGTCCAGCAGGGAGCGGCCCGGAGCGGCTGGAGCCGACCTCAGGAACACCTCGTCCCTTGTGACCCGTGGATCCATTCAGTCCCGTGGATCCATTCAGTCCCGCGGATCCATTCACGCAGAAATGTCGAGTTCCTGCTTTGTTCCTCTGATCAGCCAGGTACACACGGGGAGGGCGGGGCTTACGGCAGATACACCTGAGCGTCACGTGTCGCTGCTGAGAGGGAGGAGAGGCTAAGACCCGCCTCTGCCCACCCCTGATTGGTCCACGCTGATGTTCGTCCTGGAGCAACACTGGCTCTGGAGCTGATTGGTGGATTTTAAAAAAGGTCTCAACAGTTTTATTTGTATCATGGCAAATTGTAAAAGTAACACAAACAATTAAATTAAATTAAATTAAAGTGTTAAAATACCAGTGCAGTGTAAGAAATGAGGAATTATTCCTAAATCTCCCTCAGTATTTATCTATCTATCTATCTATCCATCCATCCAAAACTTTATATTCTTAATCAACTGGTAGCTGATAAAAGACAAATAAAGATTATTGCAGGATGTTTGCCTCACCAATCCTATCTCACAATATTAAAGAAAGAGATAGAGATAGAAAGCTTCCACCAGAAGTTCTTTCTTGGTCCGTGTCCTGTCTTTCCATTCAGTTTGCATAATCCTGCAAACAAACCAACGTGTACGGGTGTGAGCATGACCTCTTTAGCTGAGGTCATTTGTTTGGTGTGAAGAGCGGAGGTGAGGTGGAGCCTCTGCCACGTCCTGAAGGTTTCCTATTGGTTTCAGATGTGGTGACTAAGGCTTATTAAGAACATTTAGTCCTCATCATGTTCATAAAACCAGATTGAGATCATTTCTTTGTGACGTGGAGCGTAATCATGCAGGATGTAACCATTAGAAGATGCACCCTGTGTGTGTGTGTTACAATCACTCACTATGAGCTATTGATGAGCAAAGACCAACTTCTATTCCCTCTGTGTTTTATTGTTAATATCTTATAATATGTTCATTTAGGTAACTTCCAAACAAAGCAGGATTCCTGGGGAAAGCTCATCCTGAAGACTTGCAGTCAGTGTGTTTGTGGTTCTCTGATAATACAGATTCCCCCTCCACCATAAAACACTCTGCTAATTACAGGGGCCCTCAGGGGGTTGGTATCTGGTCCCACAGTCAAAATGTGTCTTTCCAGCTCCTGTCATCTGATACTGAGATCTATCTCCACAGAGCTGAGTCAGCTCTGAGAGGAGTAATACTGTGCAAACCCACAAAGATCAGCTAATAAACGTGTAGCATTACAGATGCTAATCTCTGCTGAGAATGGAGGGTGGGGCTGAGGAGAAGCCCACATGTTTACAATGGTGCCTTTTAATCTCCTGAAACTTCCAATGGGTTTTTATGTAATCAAATGTAATGGACTCTCACCTGCAGAACCACTCGTCATCTTTTACTACAGCAGTCTATCGCTGATACTAGAAAAATGTCATAGTATTATTGAAATAAATATTTAAAAAACACAAGATAAAAACAAAATTAAATTAAAAAAACAGATAAATAAGTTCAACAGGTGCAATAAGTTTTTTTTTCCCTTTAATGCATTTTGATTTCTCAAAAACAATCTTTCCAGTCCAGCTCCTGAAATCACTTTCACATTAATCGTCTCTGTGCATAATAATCAAGAACAAACAGTGACGTGTCGTTAACTCACTTTGATTACCGTTGTCATGACATCACAACGTGTTCAGCAAACATTCAAGGAGTCTGAATCCATAATAGAACAGTCATGTCATGGACCAGCTGTTTAACATTTCATGAGTCAAACACATTTATACTGAGGGACTCTCCATATTCTGTGATATTTAACCCATCATAAGATCAACACAGCGTCACACAGCATTTCAACAAGAGGAGAAAGAAGGTGTTTCTTATTTGTAAAGCAGCAAAACATCACGATTAAAGGGTGGGAGGTAAATTTATGTTGATTTGAATCATATGAAAATGGTAAATGGGGTAAAGAAGAGTGTAATGTTTTAATCTCAATCATTTCAATGTCAAATGATGTAGAAGATATTATTACAGGTCTGACCACCAGTATTTTTTTCATTTGGCACATCATATTTCACATTCAACAATTCATACGTCACACACACACACTGAGGTTTAAGGTGGTTGGAGTCCACATTTGAACTGTTGAACAAACCATAACTTGATTTTAGCTCTATTGGCAAATCTGAGTCAACTATAGTGAAGCTAAGATGATAGAGCAGTGAATTCTGTGGAGGGTAAAGGGCAACCAAATTTTAGAAGCAGGAGACAAGTTTGGGCTGCTCAGAGGGTTTTGTGTTTTTGCTCCAACCAAAGATTCTGAATAAACATTTTGAAAAAGTGAAAACCGGTTTTTCATATTCTCACCAATGCCTTCAAAATAAGATACAAAAAAAGATTACAGTTATTTCCATGCTCATTAATGCTCAGATTTGTTTACTTGCTTGGCCACAACAAATAAAAGTTAATGATCATGAATTGCAAAACATTTTGAAAATCTAAAGCGTTAACTCTCCCCCAAATTTAGTGCTGTGTTCATTCGTTCACCTCGATTCGTTACGTACGACCACATGAAAAACACCAAATCACGTTTTAACAATGCATCACTTCCAACGTCTCCATTTCACAATAAAACACAAAGTGACCAACTCTCCGTATCCCAAACCTCTTGTGTAAATAATCAGTGAGCTTTTTCTGCATGTCCTTGTTTTCCTGTCATCTTTTGTACATCGTTTAAAAAATATAGAAAATGTTAAGAGAACATTTTTACAGGTTCATTCAGGTTAAAAACACGTTTTCAAGATTTCTCTGCAAAGCTATTTACAAATCTCTGTGTGGTCAGTATCGTTCAGCAGAACATTTCAGAGGGAGGTGTTTGACAGTGAAGAGGCAGCAGGAAACATGATGTAATCGTTTATGTGGGACATGGACATCATGTCATTTTTGTTTGTTAACACAGACAAACATTTTTTGAAATGAAAGCTGCACTATTTTCAATTTTGAACCAATAAGAAACTGAGTTTATGATCCAATAACTGGGATATAGAAATGGTGATGAAAATTCTTCATATTTTTCATTTTTTACGACTAATAGATTAATTGGAACAAAACCTGTCAGATGAATTAACTGCAGCCGTAGAATTAAATTATCGTAGACAAAAACAATCATACTGTAAATTGTGTTATCTGATGGTCGCTTTGACCAAAAAGCATTCCAGCACTGTGACAAACAATAAAACTGATAAACATTGGTTTAAAAGACACAAAAGTGAATCTGCATTATTTTTCATTCAAGGTTAAAAGAAATGTTCTTTTTATACAAACGTAGTTGAAGTGAACTCATTTGTCTTCAAGGCAGCAGACAGCAACGCCCAGAGGCAAAGATGTTCTCTGCATCATTAAATACTTTCACTTTGACGACATGGGAAACGCAGAGCGCTGACGTAAAGGTATGTGGCCTGAAGCAGACAATGGGTTGGATCAGTCAAGGTTAGCTGACGTGAGATTCAGAGGCATCGAGTAAAGTTTAACTACAAACACAGCAGTGTTGTGTCGTCGGAGATCGAACCATCGAGCGTCACGACCCAGATCCAGTTTGCCGAGGTAGAAACTCACAGACAGCTTTATCAGTGAGCGTTCGTTTTCACTAATGCATGTGAGAACTTTCACTTTGATTGTATCGCCACCACTTGTCTTTTTGGAAAGCAATGTTTGGACATTGGTTAATAATTTTTAGGCCAAGTAACTTAACAACAAATGCATTTAATGAATGATTGAAGGTAAAGAAAAATCCCACTTGGTGTAAAAAATGAAAAGAGGAGATTCTCAAAACACATCAGTGCTCAGGGTGTTTTTTTTAAAGTTATATCTGTGTAGTAAAATCGGATATTTGGTTGTTATCATCACTGGTTGATGATGAAGACATTATTCAGCCCCCCCCCCCACCCCTACCCCCCACATGGACATGCTCTGGGGTCATCTCCCCTTTTTATTCACTCGAGAGCAAATCCGTTCTAATAAAGAAAATAAAAACGAGCGTTAGTGAAATAAGAACAACATTCATACAAAGGTTCAGTAAGGCATTCCTTCACCAGCTCAGTCATGCCAGCAGAGTCTGCAGCTTCCTCCACAACGTCAGCTCATCAGTCTGGTGTTCGCCAGCAAAATAAAGGTTTCTTCCATTCGCCATTTCCACAGTTTTTCTGTCCCGGCTTCTCCACCTGCTTCTGCTCAGTTACACGAGTCTCTAACACAGCGCTGGCAAATGGCTTTGGTCTGTCCTGCAGCTAAGACTAGAATTTATACATACAAGAGAGCTGTGACTCTGAAAAGTCATTAGATTCATGCAAGACTGTACAGACTTTCAGTAAACTGTCCAAGCTGGACAGGAAAATGAAAAAAAGAGGTGGAGGTGCAGTCCTATCTGCAGGAGGAGCCCAGCACGCTCCCCGTCGAGGGTGTGTTGGCGGTGGCGCTGTAATGGGGGAAGTTGTCATTGGGCTGCGGGCTGGGCAGGATGGAGTTTCCGTTGGTTGGGGAGCAGCTGAGTTGGAGCCTCCGCAGGTATTCTGCGTGGACGGGTTTGTGGCTCTGCAGCACTTTGATAGCCTCCTCCACGGTGAACCACTCCCGCTTACGGCCTGTAGAGGGAGACAGAGATTCACGCATGAGTCAAAGGAGGCATTTAGATCAGAGCTTTCATGTAGCCCCGTAAATAAATTCGACATATTCTCACTGTACAATTGCACAGTTTATACTTCCTTTAAAACAAAAATCTATTTCCTATGGTGCATATGAGGTAAAAATCTAAAGTTTGAAGTGCTTTAATGTGTTATGCCTCAATCATAAAATGAAGAAATAATTTACAGCTGTAAGTGAAATTCAGAACTATAATTTTGGAGCTGGGCAGAAATATTTTGCAGTAAAAAGCCCCAAGAGGCAACTTATTGGTTGGTTTGTCAGATTCAAAAGGTTAATTGAAGAAAAAGTTAGAGGACACAAACACACACACACAAATGTGTGTACATATATATAAACCTACAAATGTTGCGTGCATGAACAAAAATAGATGGCACACGTGTTATTACATTTCAAAACAAGAAACTAGCAGAGACAGGGGGCTCCAGGTCAGATTTAAGCTGCTTCCCGCTGAGCTCATGACAAACTGAGGCTGGATTTTGCCGACCGGCCACCAAGGGCTCGGATACACTGCAGCTGGAGAAATGCTGCAGCAAAGATCAGTGGCCTAGATCTATATGCACATGTTGTAATTGCATACCCCACTGCCCATAGTAGACTGCATGAAGGAAAGTGGCTTTCACATAAATAAAAAGATAAGTGAAAGAAGCCACCAAGCAGGGCAAATGTGTACACACACAGACACACACACAAAACAGTAAGAACAACTGCATCTGCAAACAGTGATGAGGAGGGGGACTGCACCTATGTTGACAGAGTCCTCCCAGGCCTCCAGGGTTTCTGTCACAGTCAACACGTACACGTATGTCCGGTGTTTTCGATCCTGGTTTTGCTTTAGAGATGACAAAGAAAGAAACTATAATTACACAACAATGAATCAAAACTATAAACACACATAATGTGTCAGGAGAGTCTTCACACCTGCATTGTCTTAACCTCTGCCAAGGAGGATATGTTTTCACCCTTGTTTGTTGTATGTTTGTTTGTAAGCAGGATTATGTAATAAATACAGACTACCAGAAAACCTGATGGAATAATGTGCTATGGGGTAAAGGAAGAACCAGTTACATATTGGTGCAGATCTGCGTCAGGGCGCGCATGCAGGATTTGTTTTGTTTTTCAACATTTTCGTTCATTTCTCAGAGAATAACTTGTTGATTTTTTAAAATCCAGCATGCTTAGTGGTACTTTTAATTTGAAAAGGTGCCCATTTTATTAGCTAATTTGTGCACCTAAATATACACGTGTGAAATGCTTACCTCGAATACACCGAGCAGACGTCCGAGCTTTCCTTTCACACCGGCCTGACAAAAGAAAAGACGATAAAACATGAAAATAATGCAATGTTTGTTCTCCTCACTGCTCACAACATTGAGGACACTTCTTTGTGGCCTCACAACAACAAAAAAACGATGAATAGAGGGTGAAAACAATAGAAAAGCAGCACTCAAACCACAGACTATAATCTGAGTTCACACAATGGGCATTGTGTATTGCATTTCAATGTTTTAAAGAACTTCGGGTCCACCTCCTGTGAACTGAGCTCAAGTATAAACTCCCAGGCTTTGTTTTGATACAGAAATGCTGGACAAACAATCACTGGAGCATGAGAATGTTCAGAAGCAAACTGTGGAATAAATCCATGTGCTCTGTCCTACGTGGCCTCCTCACAGCTTCTTTGGTTTCTGTCGGTCAAGCTACAAATGTTGTTCCTCTTAAAGTTAAAGGCCCGGTAGACTGAGTCCTCCGAAAGGACGCAGTCCCTGAATTGAGACACAGCTTTGGTTCCAGACTGGTCTGATGACATAAAGTCTTATAATAATAGTCATCTTTAGCAACCATTTGAATTTTCCCTGGATAAAAACCCTGGCATGAATCCTGAAAGAGCATCATCATGGAAATGCAATAATGTTTCTAACACTTGTTTTATTAATTCAGATGCACTTCACAGGATTCAAATTACTGTCACGACACATGACATCTGTCCTTTCCCCCTCTCAGCATACTTCACAAGTGTCACTCTGTCCCACTGATGCGTCCGGTAGACTAAAGTGCAGCCTCTGTGAATGCACAGGAATCCAGCAAGGAGCCAAGTTTAGACCGCTGACGTGGCTGAGAACACAAGGTCCTCCGCCGGCTGGACCTCTGGAATACCAGCGGGCTGCTCATTCACCCGGCCACTGACACCCTGGCCCTTCAAAAATCTCACCCTTAGCATGCGCTCTGCTGCAACCCTACACAAGCCCATCTCTGGTCATTTCAGCTGGTTTTATATGACTGGAAATCAGTGGCAAAGGGCAAGAGGGAGTGATGGTAGATTTCTGATAATAATGAGCACAAATATCTTTCCTTGTCCAAAACGTCCAAATGTCCTCAGCTGCCACGTTGTCTCAAATGACCCCTGAGCAGATTCTGACCCTGAATTTGCAAAGTCCCTCTAAAAATGTTAATTATCACATAATAATATAAATTGATATTTTGTCCCATCCGTACTTCCTAGGTCTGAAATGACAGAGATTTATTCACCTCCTCGAACACCTCTCGCACAGCGGCACCACACGGCTCCTCCTCTGGCTCCATCCCTCCTCCGGGGACGATCCACTGCTCTGGGTGTCGACTGCTGCTGACCAACAGAACCTGTTAAAGACAGAAAAAAAAAACACACAACATGAGAAGCCATAGAGCCTGGTCTTAGTCTTTTTATTTCGCTGTGCCAGGAATGTGCGTCTCACATGAAATCCCAACCTTAAGAAAAGAGGAATCTTTTTTAACAGCCAAGTGTTGAATCAGATTTGCTTCAGTGACTTCACTGGCTTGACATTGTGTGTCAAATTGAAACTGATCACTTTGACATGAAACCGATCACTTTGACATGGGACTCAACCCTTTGACTATTTGGAGTCAGGTCTCATGTAGAGATGATTGATGATTGCTGGTGTCTCTGCTGTCTATTATTTGCTGGCGCTTATATCTACCACAGCGTCCATATCATCCTATTAAACATTTGAATCACAACTTTCACACGCGAGCAGTCATTTCAGCGACAGATGTTGAATCCTAAATGTTTGGAAGCCACAGTGTGTGTTCACTATATTTGTTTAGGATTTTTCCAGTCTGTTGATGCAGCTCAATCAAAGCCAGTATCGAAGCTGCTCCAACCCAACACGCACCCCCCCCTGGGCAAACAATGCACATAAAGCCAAGCATGAGCCGCTCAAATTCTCCCAGCACTCCCCTGGGCACCCTGCGGAGGCTTCGAATTACACTACAGTTGCAGCGGACACCGATCCGCGTGGATCAGATGTGCCTGTGTTGGCAGTTTCTTGCCATATCCGTACAGCGAAGCAATCACAACAGACACAAGTGCACCAGCTGTAAACATTATCACGTAGGCACAGAGCGAATCAATCATCGTTAAGGCAGAACGCAGGTCAAAACATCAACACCTTCTGAACCCTGCAAGTGTTTAATTTGCCACATGCTTTTTTACATTTCTATTTGACACAAACATACAAACAAATCTGTGCCACCACATGGGGCAAGGAAAAGAGACATTATGAGCACAGCAGGAGCAGCGGCGTCTTGCTTGAGGACACTCTGTGTCGTCTTTCCCCCAAGATCATATCAACGTCTCTCGTGCGTCTTTGTCATCTCAGAAACCACCCTCCACGTCAGACAGAAAATGTAAATACACGTGCTTTAAAGGTAGAAATGTGTGTTAAGCAGATTGCATGACAGATGGTGACATCCACCTCCGCCACCCCTCCGATCATTATATCCAATAATCTGCCAGAGGAGTCAACCTGTCACTTAATCCTGACTCTTCATTGCTTTCTTTACATTCTCTAGTGGGATTGTTGCACCAGAGGCCGTCTGGAGCTTTTCTTTAAAGGGCCAAGGGCCAAACCGATTGGATGGCACATGCTTGGAAGGGACCCTTGCAAGCGGGCGCTGCCTTTCTCTCGTGTCCCACTGAGCCACCTGCTTATTCCCAGACGATATAGGTTAGGGTGAAGGGCGGGGGGGGGGGGATTAAGTGTGAGCATCTGGAAAAATTTAAAACATACACAAAAATGGTGTCAATCACAAAAGACAGATGCAGGTCATAGATGGTGCACTGTGTGTTTAAAGGAAGGCACATTTACAGTAACTGTACAAGCAGTTTTAGTGTGGAACATGACGTCTTCTCAGCAGAGTGTTAACTGGGAGAAATGTGCAAAGTTAGCGGTCGTAACCTGCTCGAGAAAACAGCACTTTGAGAAAGAGGATGCCCAAGAGTTTAAACACACTGAACTTCACTCCTTTAATCACAATCTGAGAATTTAATAAAACTATAAAAAATGTGATTTTCTTATCCAGGAATTGTGTGCCTTATCTGACAAGGACTTATTTGTCCTCCTGTTGGCTGTGAGTGTCCCCTGCCAGACGTCTGTTTTCATATTGGGCTATTTATTGTGTGAAGCACTTCCACACAGGATGGGCTACTTCAGCGCCATGACATAATGAAAGATTCATTCATTCTTTGTGTTCTGGACATGTTGGCGGAGATTTCAGAGCACACACACCGGCCCCGGCTGTCCGATTGTGTGCTGTCTGTGTGCTGAGCTGCGGCCAATGAGGCTTAAAGGCAGGATTGCTGGTGTCAACGTGTTCAGAGCCGACAGGTTGTGTACAATACAAAAGCTGCCGAGCTTCCAGGGCAGCAGGGACAAAGCAAATTTCTGCTCTGCTTGTTCCATTTTTATCTTTTGGTCGTCTTTCCTCAGAACACAGTGCAGGCCACATTTAGGTTTTGTTTTAAAGCATTTAGGATGTAGAGCAGTGAATCAACATACTACAAACTGTATATAATTAAGATTTTGTTGCTTCATGTGTGCTGCTGAGATTTACTTGGCTAGGAGGGAGAAACAGGAGTTTGGTGCTGCCTTTGAGCACCAAGTCACTCAGATAAACCAATTCCCTGATATTTCAAAATGAAGTAATTATAAAAACTCTGCTTTTTAAAATTCTGTTAAATTACTTGATCTACCTTAAAACCCTTCCAAGCCCACACTGTAACTGTAAAACTACCCTGGGGGAAGTACCCCATGTTGGCTATCACTGACGCATAACGATCAACACCCCAGATTTAACTCTGGTTTGAAAGCCTGATGAAAAACCAAAACAAAATAACTCACACAGGCATGACAGATAGGTCAACAGTCAGCTGACAGCTGAACTCTGAGAGCAGGTAAAAAAAAAAAAACACAACTATATTTGGAAAGAGGGAAAGAGGGACAGAGGACCCCCAGAGGGAATGTTGCAATGTTTCCTGGTGATTTTGCAACTCACTCCACTTCTGAGGGGCCCCCATTGTGAATAGAGGAGGGCCAATTCCGGGGCAACGTGCAGTAAATCTGTACAATGATAAACGCTATACAGACACATAGGACACATCTAGCACTAGCTGAGCTCTCTGTATCTAAAAGGTCCAATACAAAGCCACACAAGAACTGATTTAAATAAGAACTATCAGTGGTTTTAACTCAGTTTCATAGTTTGAGACATCAGACCTGCCACTGGTAGTAAAACACCAGTTATGACAGCAGGTCCTCTGGCAAGGCCTCAATCATAGACAGAAGGCAGAAATATTCTAGAGGCCATTAACACCTCCTCCTCCCCGAGGAGGAACGCCTGTAGCTGTCAAACAAGGAAGGCTCCAAATGCCGCCGCTGTGGGGGGGTGGGGGTACACACAATCTACAGTCATACAGTCGCTGCTGCGGTATCAACAGATAAGACGAGTCATAAAGAGTGAGAGAGAGCCTGATGTTACACTGAAGCATCCACTCAATCTGATAACCCCCCCACTCCTATTTCCAGTTTGACATTATTTACAGTCTGCTGCAGCAACCTTCAAAACTGAGCCTCTCTCTCATGATCTCATAAACATGGAGGTCATTGCTAGAAATGCTGCGTCCATCAGAGGTATCACTTCATCTCTCTCATTTGATGCACAAACTCAATGCATTTCAACATAAGATGTGTAGCTTCAGCCTGGAGGGGTTTCTTCAATCAAAACAACAACAATAACTAGTTTAATAAAGCAGCGTGGGATCATGGGAGTGGCTGTCTTCACCACCATTGCCAATGAAAATGTACCTGACGCAAATGATGTTCAGGGATGAGGATATGTAATAATGTTTTATTCAGAGAGGCCTTTTAAACTTCGAAAAGTCACGTATAAAGATATTGATTGTAAAGACATACAGGTACTTAACTAGTTTACATCTGAGGAATTGATGAACTTTGTGATGAAATTGACACGCCCACAAGTGAGGAGAACTTATTTAATTACAGACTTCTACAAGCTATCACTGCTGTATCAAGATGGAAAATAATTAATGAGGCGCTCTTGGCCCTCGGGCCCCACGAGCAGCTCACATGCTGTTTAACTCAGGTGGTCCCGCTCAGTTACCACTGTTGTCCCTCTGCACTGTCAGGTTCCTGCCTTCCCTTGTTAGGACTTTAATTGCTGTCAGAGTAGCTCGCTCTGAGGGCTCAGCTTTCTCCCTTCCTCTCCAAAACAAAACACTCCGGCAGCACGTTCGACTCTCGTTTCACCACAGATGTGTCTCCGGTGTCTGTGGAACTGATTGTGTGTATGTTTTTAACCCATGAATAAATAACACAAAGCCCAACATCTCAAGCTTTTTTAAGTTAAAACTGATACCGTATCACTTACGATGACAATCAGAGCACCAGATTGCTCCTCCAAACAGTCATCTCTGTGAATGCATGAGCAAACTTGCTCATCAGAGCCAGAAAATCCTGAAGTTGATGGTCACACCTACACACGTCTGTTGTCAAAATACTCTTTCACTATCCTTGCCTGTAACTATGAGTGTTGGAAGTGTGCAAACAAGTTCTGAGAAATGTTAGGAGAGCGTGCAAAGATGCTGGTGCACAGCACCTATAACAACAAAAATAAAATCAAGAGTCAAATCTCTAATGTTATAGCATCACTTTCATAAATACTCTAAATCTCTTTCATGATCAGACATGATGATGACATAACATACTGTGCCCATGCAGGCGAGCACTGAACAGACATGACTGTCTACATCTTCATATCAGTGTGTTGTACAGGCAAACACAGAGGGGCAGAGACAGAGCTCTTTGTGGCTTTCTAGTGACACCAGACTGCTCCTACAATATATTGTGTAACAGTTTGTATACTCCACACTCAAACATGAGGCTAAATTTAGACTGGCTAGTGTTTGCCACAATAAAAGAGATATGGCAGCGATGTGTTTTGACATAAACATGACTTACTGCAGAAGGATGGCTATGGGAACAACTGACTAACCTGGTGAACATATATATTATATAAATCCTAGCTCAAAGTCTGTCTAATAACAGGCTCTATCTAGACCCCCTTTATTATGTGTGGCTTGCTTCAGCTTTTGCCATAAGCTTTTTTGCCATTAATCTACTTTATTATTTGATTAAGTTTCTGAGTTGTGTGCAATTTTTATATTCATCAAGGGTCACTGTTTTCATTTTCTTAAATCCCGCCCACTCCATGTTAGTCGATGGGACATGGGCCATAGATCTTTGTCAAAGATGGCTCTATCATTTCGTTAGTGCAATTATTTTCTGTGAGTTTGGTGTTTGGGTCCAAAGCGTGTATCAGCAGGACCATGCAACCACAGCTCCATCCCCCTTTATTTAATGTGCAGACTCCAAATGGTGGTGGTGTTCACATCCGGGCTATTTTGGCTTCATTTCTAGACAGTGGGAGGAAGTGGAGACGTATCATCCATCTTCATACAGTCTTTGTGGTGAATGTTGAATATGAAATATACTGTGCAAAAAAAACATTGTATGTAACATGTAACAATATCTTTGGAACATCACAACTAATGTATTTCTAATCATGTCTGGGTGGATGCAAAGGAAATTATTTTTTTAAATTGCATAAAGTCTGTTGCCACACATTTCTTTACCTGGTGCTGGTCCCTTTAAATCCTCAAACATGAATCAGCTCCAGCGCCGGGATGCAGCAGTGTCATGAATGGACGATGATTGTTTGTGTACGTGAACATGTCGCGATGATCTAATGCGTTAATGAGACTCGACCTTTGACGTTCAGCTTTAGTATCTGTCGATGTTAAAAGAAACGTGCATCACAGCGCCTCGCCCCCTCTCTGCACCCCACTGCAAGCTAGCTACATGCTAACCGGAAGTGCAGCGAGCACATCTTCAAAATAAGAGCGTTAATCCCGTGACAAGTTGCGTAAGAAAAAAACTTGTTGGTGTGACATCACATACTCATAACACAATATTTGTCCGTAAACAGACAGAGAGTAGAAGATGTACAGACTGAGTGAAGTGAGTGACATGTAAACACAGTGTAAAAATATAGAAACATTTGGGAGGAATTATATTCCCAAATATTAAAAATAGGCCCCATATTCCAAGGTTTGACACAGAAGGACCCTTCATTCAGTTTGAAGAGTGTGGTCGGAGTTGACAAACAGACCCAAGCAGTGGGACACAAAAATCTGTAAATACACATTGCGACATCATCAACTTAGTGCCGCCGTCTGCAACTGTTTTAGGGCTGGACAATAAAACAGTATCAGTAACTATCAGTCTAATATTCATCAATTGCAATATAAAAGAAATTGGAAAAAACTTTGCATTCCTAAATTGTTTAATTCCTATGTTCTTGCTCACCAGTATTACTTAATGTAAAACTCTTTTATTCCATTATTTTATCCTCATAATTGTTTTTACATTATCACTGTTGAACAGATTGCCTTTGACTTGGCAAGACATGTAAACGCCACGCTAATAAAGCTTTTCGAATTGATTAGGTCAAGAATAGGGTTGGTACGATATGGCCCAATGATACATCGTAACAAACATTTTCATGCCAGGCGATATCAATGATGATCGCAACAAACGTCACATTCTTATTTCTTTTTATTTCAAACCCTAATTGTTTATTGGGGGAGGGTTGTGAGATGTAAACTCTTCTTTATGGGCAAACACATTAAATCACTTTGCAAATCTGAGCTCAATCACTTGTATCAAAACACAGTGAACCTTTGTTATAGTGCAACTGATGTTCATTATAATGTGATGATTCCTCATTTCAGACAGGGCCCTAAGTCAGAGGAGGGGGGGGCTTTCATTTTGAAAGTCAGGACCTCCGCTCGTGCGTTGCTAAGCGAAGCTGCCTTGACAACCGTCCTTTTCCTCCTTTTTTCTCGAC